GCTTGTAACTCCTTGGAGGACTCATAGGTGTCCTGGTGGAGTTCCTTACTTGTTTCTTTCTTGAGAAATGGAAAATATAGACTAGCTTTACTCTGACAAAAGCTAATACTTGCTTAACACAGTCTTAAACCATGCCTGTACTCACATATTTAATGATTTACTTTGTGGGGATGATAGTTAAAGACGTGAGCTTTTGGATGGAAGGTCTCCAGTTCATTGTGCAAATAAATAGAGTTTCTTAACTCATACTGACGTAGTTTTCAACGAGCATAACAACTACAACATTTTTGAAAATTCAGCCTTTGGTTTTGGTTTGTCAGAAGCTTTTCAGAAGCTCCATTTGGCTACAACTATAAAAAGGTTCTGTGGTTTGTTGTTTAGTGTTGGACAGGTAGCTCATAGTGGGCTTATGTTGAGCCTGGAAACTGTAAATGTGCTTCACTACTGCTGTACTAAGCAACAGAAGCCAACGATACATGTGCAGATATTATAGAGGAACAGGTTTAGATGTATTTTCAAACAGTGAAAACGTGGAAAAAATGAGACCAAACAGTGGAAGTGTATCAGAAAGCTGGATGTAAGTCCTGCTGCAGCTCAGAGACCTCACTCACCTGTGCTGGGTGTAAGTGGGTAAAGCGAGCTTGTTGGGTGTTATTACCAGGATAGAGAGACTTCCACTGGTAGTTCCTCCCATTGTACAGCTGCGAGTTAAAGGACCAGCACTGCTCCTCCCTGAAGCTCCTCCCGGTGGCCGGACAGTCCTGCAGGACCAGTTAAAGAGGTCTGATTCACACTCGGCTTCTACAGTGTTTTACACAAACAAACTCCTTTTCTCAGCATTTATTTGTGCAGGGATGGTTTTCTGATCGCTCGGAGCTCCGCCCGGATTCACTTTCAAACAGCTACAGTCGCTCACGGCTGGAAGCTGCTCGACACGACCGCCGTCCTCCGCCGTCGACCGGCCGGAGGCTTTGTTTTAATACATACGCAGGGATGAGAAAGTCGTGACTCACTTTAGTGTTGCAGAGATGATATTTCTTGGGAGTTCCTGTACAGGTCATGTTGTCCTTCCCAGCAGCAACTTTCTTTCTTTGGACAGAAGACAAACATTTGGAGAAACGACAACAAATTAAACGTTAATATTGGATAGAAATCACAGAGAAAGATAAGAAAACATCAGGTTGGATTATGATCCGTGTGCGAAAAGCAGCTCACCAGAATCTGCTGCTCCAATTTATCAAACAAATCCTGATAACTGAGTCAAATTGAATCGTACTGATCGATCGATATATACGTATGTTGGCTGCAATAAATAGTAACTGTTTTTTATAATTAAAAAATATACAGCTGCACTTCAATGCACGCATGTTCAGGAAGAAAGTGCATGTTTTTACATAAATGAGTTTGTCCTGTGCTGTCTGTCTGTGACAGATTATCCTCCATCTGGGGACCGAAAGTTCTCAAATGAATTTCAATGTTAAGACTTTCATGGAGAGGTTTAGGTTTAGGCTTTTTTAACTTTCCCACCCACGTGGTTCAGAACTGAATGAACCCAAGACTTCCAACATCAGTCCTCATGTCATGATGTGAATGTTGAATCCTTGCATACAGACATGGGTTGAGGTTGTGTTCAGAGCAAGTTCACTTCCCAGGAACGACACGAATAAGCAAGGCCACCAAGACACCTATCGCTTATGAAGGAGTTACAAGCTGATATTCACCACCATGCTTCACAGTGGAAATGGTGTGTTTGTGATGATGTTCAGTGTTTAGTGTCTGACAAACATCACATCTACTCTGATGAACAAAAAGCTCCATTTTGTTCTCCTCAGACCAAAGAACCTTCTTCCAGGTGACTTCAGAGTCTCCACATGTCTTCTGCTGAACTCTAGTCCAGATTTAATCTGAGCTTTTTCCAACAGAGTCTTTCTCTTTGTCTCCAATAAAGCTTTGATGGTGAAGAACAGACAACAGTTGTTCTATGAACAGTCTGAAGCTGGAAACTCCTTCAGAGGAGTCGTAGGAGTCTTGGTGGCCTCCTTCACTCGTCTCCTTCTTGCTCGGTCACTCAGTCTCTGAGGACGTCCTGCTCTAGTCAGATCTACTCATGTTCCACATTCCTTCCATTAATGATGGATTTAACTGGACTCCAGAGATCTTCAGTAACCTTGAAATGTTCTTGTATCGTCTCCTGACTGAAGCTTCTCAACAACCTTCTCCCATAGTTCTTGGAGTGTTCTTCAGTCTTCATGGTGTCGTTCTATCCAGGAGTTCTGGTCCACCAGTGACTGGACCTTCCAGGAGTCTTTACACTACAATCACTGAGACACATCCACTGACCTCAGATCATCCATTTCACTATCTGTGTGACTTCTTGCACCAACTGGTTGAGTTACTTTTAAGATTAGTTCAGTAACGTTTAGCTAACGTTGCGGTTGAAGCTGTTAGATCCGACACCTGGATGGAAGCAGAAAGACTTCCTGTATTGGAAGTCAGACTAATGTGATGTCCTCTGACCTCTGCTTGAGACAGTGTCTCTCCTGAGACATGACTCCTCCTCCACAGGTCCGAGTGCAGGCCGTCCACTTGGCCCACTCCCCCCACCAGTAGGTGGTCACCTCCAGCTCCTCCTCCAGACTGTTGGAGGCCACGCCCTCCTCCTGCACACAAACACATTACATTAGGATGCATGAAGAGGTTGCATCGGTGGCATTAATCGGGTTAAAGCTTGTTTTTGTGTTTGCAGTGCCTCTGAATCTGAACAGTTATGTGTTCCTCTGTAGCGTCACACTTTCAATGAAACAACAGGTGATGTTGTTTGAGCCACACAGTCCCGAATATCGAACAGCAGCTTGTGTTTGATTTGTTGCGTTCTGTCACATCAGTAATAAATCCAACATGTGATGCTGTCTTTATCCGATGTGCCACTTTGGCCCTTAAGAGCTGCACTGCCAATAAGCAATAACTGCATAAACGTGACCACATTTTGTCCAGTTGATGAGTTACAGACACTAAACAAACCAAACTCAAGTAAAAGCAGCAGAAACAGCTTTAACCCTTTGAAAAGATGGAAAAATCAGACTATCTGTCAAAGCCAGAAACTATAAACACGGAAACAGTCATTGGATTTTTAACTCTCCGATGGCTTTTGAATGCATCGTGTGTAATGTGTGGTTCAAAGGAAAAAACGATCAAATCTAATCATGGAATTGTGGCATTTTTCTTCTACTTGTTTCATCCAGAAAATCTCCAAATCTTGTAAAAGACGAAAAAATTCTGTGCAAAAATTAACGAGTCAGCAACTCCAAAAACAAAATAAAGTGTCAGATTTTTTTTACTTTTGAAAAAAATCCATGAAGGAATCGTGTGTGACAGTTGGTTCTGTTGCAAAAAAATAAAAAAAAATAATTAAAATGATGTTTCTTTAAAACTGAACAAAAATAAACTAGTCCCACCAGATTCTATTGCGAACGATTGTCCCAAATGACTCGAAATTTCATGAAAACGACTCAACATTTGTCCAAAATTGATCAAAATTTGATCACGATAACTAAAAGTTTATCCAAAATGAGTCTTAATCTGACCAAAACAACTCAACATTGGTCCAGAATTTCACAAAAACAACCCACTTGTCCAAATTTGCTCAAAATTTTACCACGATAACTAAAAGTTTATGCAAAATGACTCTTGATCTGACCAAAACGAGTCAACATTGGTCCAAAATGACACAAAACTTCCCGAAAACGACTCAACATCTGTTTTAAATGACTCTTAAACCTCACAAAATGTCTCTAAGCTTGACCAAAATTACTCATCCTTTGTCCAAGTTGCTCAAAATTTAACAGATATAACGAGAAGTTCATCCAATATGAGTCTTAATCTGACCAAATCAACTCAACATTGGTCCAAAATGACTCCTAAACCTCACAAAATGTCTCTAAGCTTGACCAACATTACTCATCACTTGTCCAAAATGGCTCTAAATCTGACCAAAATGACTCAACGTTGGTCAAAAATGACGTAAAATTTCACGAAAACGACTCAACATCTGTTTTAAATGACTTCTAAACCTCACAAAATGTCTCTAAGCTTGACCAACATTACTCATCAGCTGTCGAAAATTGCTCAAAATTTGACAGATACGAGAAGTTCATCCAAAATGAGTCTTAATGTTACCAAAACGACTCAACATTGGTCCAAAATGACGCAAATTTCACAAAAACGACTCAACATTGGTCCAAAACGACTCTTACCTTACAAAATGTCTCTAAGCTCGACCAACATTACTCATCAGCTGTCGAAAATTGCTCAAAATTTGACAGATACAACAAGAAGTTTATCCAAAATGAGTCTAAATCTGATCAGAATGATTCAGCTTTTGTCCAACATAACTAAACATTTGAATGAAATAACTCACATGACCTAAAATCACCTGTTCAGAAAACAAAGATAAACAAAGAACTTTTCCTTCATGAATGATTGATGCCTGTATAACACCAGGACACTTCAGCACATCAGTGAAAGAGACAGAAACAGCAGCAGAACCACCTGCAGTCTGGTGTTTGCTGTACTGGACGTTGTGGAGGTTTCAGCAGCAGCAGCAGGTTGGAATCAAAGTGCTGCTGCAGCGTCACAGTAAATGAGCGTCACGGCGTTTTGTGTTGGAGCTGTGAAGCCTGTGAAGACGTTTCACACATTCCTCGTGCGCATCGGCAGCTTTGGCGCTTTTATTCGCTCAGATTCATCGGAGCGACGGCTGGAATGTTTCGCTGAGCTCCTTGTGAAGGTGCGAAGCCGAGCAGCTGCGAGAGACGCCGCGAATACCAGACGGACGGCGTAAGTGAGAGTCGGATAGATGGGACCACGGCTCTGGTGGACGGAGGAGAGAAAGCCTCACGTCACGCCTCGAAGTACGAGAAACAGCAGAGCAGTGGGGAGATACCACACGCTGCAAGTAGAAGTCCATCTAAACCTTTACCGAGTGCTGGCATCACAGGGAAAGTGCTCAAAGTAGAAGAACGAGCCAGTTCAGAATAAGACAGAACTGACAATTTGAAGATCTTATCAAACTGGAATAGATCTAGTGATGCGTTCATACGTTCATC